GATTCTGAATTCTTCTTTAGCCAGAACACAAATACCAAAGTTGATGAACTGAGTCCAATCTCCAGTAACATTCTGGTACCATTTTACCACTCACACCTGGGCATATCTCACCATGAGTGGGGTGTTCTCTGAGAAGTCCAAGAAGCAGTATTTGGTCATGAAATTCAAATTCAGGATATAAAATCTAATTAGGAACTTAACAGAAACATAGAGCCTTTTTTAAATAAGGCTATGACTTAACCATCCTGCAAAACGAAAAGTGGCCCTGCTTTTAAAAGCTTTTCCCCTCAATAGGTAAGTAAATGATTTTACAGCCTTCTTTCATGATAGCACAGCTTTTTTTTGTTGTTGTTGTTAAATTGATGATCACTAACACATATCAAGAAAATCTTTGTAACATGTCATACCATTTACTCTCTTATTAATACCAAAGGGTAGCAGATTATGCCACACTACAATTTTCCTCTTTGGCATAGGATTACTTTGAGCTGAAGAAACTTGAAAAACAGCAAATGCATAGAAAGAGTGTCTCTGAATCCGCTTAACCTGCTTGAAGACAGATTTTCCAAAAAGAACTCAGTTGTCATAAATCCTTTCCTTAAGGAGCTTCATTAACCAGGGAAGATTGACTCTTGTCACAGGAGAGGCGACTAGAAGTCAACACAACATACAGGCAAACTGTCTCAAACTATACCGCTTTATTCTTCAAAGGGCCCATTTGTGTTGCTTAAAAATCATATACTCTAAGTGGCCTACATCTCCTCACTTTTCCCCTATTGAAATAACATAAAAATTCTCAAATTGCATTGCATTTTGGGGGTTGTATACAAGAAAAAAGAGGCCACATACTGAAACTAATAAGCTCAAGGGAAGCCTGCATAGTGGGTCTTACAAACTCAGAGACCTAAAGTAGTCATATAGGGTAGTCTGAAATTAAAACTTCCTAAGTAAAAGTGAGTGAAAGCAGGTAGTCACATCCTTGGCTGTTACCTTGCCTGGCAAAGATCAATCTTTACTTTAGCTGAGCCTGTCTATTGTCTTTTTGCATCTATGATAACATAACCTTTGAAATGTTGGAGTAATCCCATTTTTTTCCAGACACCTCAGGGCACAATCTCCCAGCAGAGCACAAGATCAAGGAACCCCTCATTGTTTTCTTTTTCTCTGCTTAGAAACTCTGTGTTGTAAATGTTAATTGTTAACTATCCTATACCCACCAATTTTAAAAAAGTACGTGTCCATCCATTTTACTTTTTATCTAATCAGAGGTTTCTCCACTTTGCTTTCTTTGCCCCCCCAATCTACTACCAAAAACTTCATGTAACTTCCTTATGCCTCCTGCTTTGATTTTAATGTATAAAAGAAGGTGCAAAACTGCCATTCTCCAGAGCATTTTCTCAATCCATTGAGATTTTGCTTCCCAGCAATCGTTGTCAGTTTGGCCCAAATAAACTCATAAAAATTCTCTACAGGTTTGGATGTGTCTTACATTGACAGGGTATTATTATTTTTTCCTGTGATGTCCTCATGTACATAATATTAAAATTATTATATTTTTATGCCATTTCTCCTGCTAATCTGCCTGTTGTCAGTTTATTTAACACACCCAACTATCAGACTTAGGAAGATAGAATACTCTTTTTTTTAAAAAAAAAAAACAAAACACTTAAATTTAAGGAGACTGCAGTATCTGCAGGAGCACAGCACGCCTGTGCGTTTCACCAGTGCCCCTTCTGTGCACACACTGCCGTATAAGGTCATTGTCTGCAAATCAGTATTTTTATTCTGAATATGTAATTCAGTGGACTATTTTCTTCTTTAATAATTCTATCTAAAGTGTTACATGTTTTCGATGAATCTCTCTAAAGACACAACTATGGCAATTTTTTTTACTCTTATGAGAAAGAAAGAAAACAATTTATCTAGCAGATATGACAATACAAAAGACCTAAAATATTGTGATTAATAGTTAGGGATATAATATACATTTCTCAAGTTACAATTGTGCTCTTTAGGATTGGTTTGTACACTTCCCTTCTAGCTGAACTTTACCACTATGATTATTAACCCATGCTATTCTCCTTTAACTTATCTAGGCCATTAGTAAATAATATAAAATGTTCTCAAAAATTCTTTAAGCTTATGGCCTACTCATTCTAGCAGACCCACAGGGTCCAAGCATATTTGTAATGGGATACAAAGCAGGGGGCCCCAGATTAGAGGAGAAATTCCCCACAGCCCGCAGTTGGAGGAAAAAAGGGAGCAGATGATAAGGTCCTTACAATACTTTTCATAACAGTTGCAAGTTGATAGCCATGTCCTTCCTGAAGGGAAGCAGGCTGCTGCCCCAGGGGAAAGGACTATGTGACTTTCAGAGTGTAATGTGACTCTTGACAAATCCGGTGAGTTTATACATTGCCTGCACAAGAGGGAGGCAGCCAGAGACCCCTGAGTCATGGGGAACTCATGCCCTGACTAAAGATGACCGCTGAAAGAAGGTAAAAGATATGGAGGATCTGGCAAAAGTAGCTCCCTGTAGGAGAGACCAGATATGACGTCATGTAGGAAGTCCCAGGCCAAGCATTTAAAATAAACATGGGCTGAAAGAGAAGGGAATTCTGCCATGAGGGCCCAAAAAGTAGGAAAGCAGCCATGTGGGCTGCAGGGGGATTTGGCCATGAGGTCTGAGAGAAGAAGCAACAAGCAGCTATGCAGTTTGTGGTAAAGTGGTCCTCCATGACGGCTGGTGTGTAAGGCAGAAGCCATGCCCGCTGGGAGTCAGGATTCCACCACGAGGCCTGAGGTAGTGAGGAAGGCAGCATGTGGCCTGAGAAAAGGGTGCAAGGAGAGAGCTGATGGAGTTGTGCAGAGATCTAGCAGAAAGGATGGAGCTGTGTGGGAATCTGTTTCGTCAAGCACGGGTTTGCAGGAGATGCTTTGGAACTGAACTGTGATCAGGAATGTAGACTTCTGCTTCTCTGAAGGATGTACAGAGAAGCCACTTTCTTGGGATGTGTGCTTCCCGGGACTCCACCATGAGCTAGTGTAACACGGCATGTTTTCCTGGACTACTACATGGAAGCTGAAGACAGGGTACCTCAGATCCTGAAGGAGGGAGCTGCTGCGAGAGGATGGTGATTCTGAAACCCACAAGCGCACATTCCAGAGGAGATGGAGAAATGTTTGTGCAGCTGATTTAAGAACAGATAAGGAGATGGGGAACTTTTGGGCATGTTTTTGGCTTATAGCCCAGTGGGGAGCAAGGGAAGTGCTGGGTCTCATGGTGGAACAGGGCTCTGAGCCGGAGTGCTCTCAGGCCCCCTGAGGTTGGAATCTTGTAAATAAAAACACGTTTCTTCAACATTAATTGTTGGGTTGTGTATCACAGCGACACGTGGATGGACCCCAGTTTGTATAGAAAGGCAAGTGTTATGACAGAGAGACACTTTCCTGAAATATAACTTCAAAGTCTTGAAAATAATCAACCATTCCCTTAATGAAGTAGGATAATCATAAGGATATGAATAGGATAGCAAGACAGCATTTTTTAAAATGCCTAGAGAATAAAAATGCATAGCCTAGCTGATTGAATATCCAAGAGTCAAGGACATTCTCTGAAGTTCAAATTCATTCAATCTAATTCTCTGCTGTCTTTTACATTAAGGCCAAAAATGAATATTAACCATTTTTATTAACTCTGACTCTCACTTTTAACATATTAAAACCTGCTAGTACAAAATGCTTCCAAATGTAGTGATATTTATTTTCCAATGTATGCATAAAAGCTATGCAGATAAAGGTATAACAGGCTTGATAAATTATATAAACCTCTATATTTTGGTGTTAAGTTGTGAACTTACATGTTAACCACTGAAATTAAGAACTTTGCAGTGTTATTTAATAGCTGTAAACTAACTTTAAAGGTCAGATACTATTCCCAGTAGGAAAGGCTAGAGACATAAAGAATAAATAGAGAGGAAGCAGATGTTCTGATTTTCTATGAGAGCCTTTTGAGTTCTCAGATGGTTTGATTTCATTCTCCTTAATTTTTTGTTTCTGACCTTCAAGTTTGACTCCCTCTTCATAACTGCTTTTCAGAATGTAATAATCAGAAAATGTTTAAAAATATTTTCATTTATTTTTCATTGTTTTATTTTCATTTCATTGTTTTTACATAGTTAAAATATTTTGAAATTATTTTTAGTTTCAGCTTTATCAGTAGTTACTGAAGAACGATAAGAAATATATATGATTAGGGATATATAATGCAGCTAAGAATGTGGAACTAATGAAAATAAACATGTTTAAACTGCCTACTAATGCAATGGATATGCAGGAGGGATAATCAGGGTATTGGAGACGTTTGGAATAAAAGACAGTAAGCATTCAGGTAAACCAAGTGTGTGAAAGCTTTCACAGGCAAAAAATTAAAAGTAGAACGGAAGAGATGGAGAATAGAATGGATCCTGATTTAAGATCCCTGCATAGTTGGAACGAAGTTGCTTAGCTAATCCCAAATGGAGCATCTCCTTAATAATCATGTTCAGTTTGGGAAGAAAATGCCTTCTGTGTCACTCAACCTCTTGCACTTCCCTCAATAATTTTAACTTCCTTATTTATAAAAATTACTATGACAGAGTTTAGCCAAGAACTAATCATAAAAACACTAAATTAAACCATAAATGATAACTCCTTTGTTAATCATTAAAGAAATAAAATAATTATATATGTTTTAAATGTGTCAACTCTGGAAAGAAGCTTAAATTTTTAAATATTTTAAATGTTTTAGTTTTGAGTCTGCCAGCAACTGGCCATATGATCTTATTTACTGATCCTCAGCTATTTCATTAATAAAATGACAGTGTTGAATGATATGATCACTAAAATTCTTTTCTGCCCTAAAATTCTATTATGCACCTTTTCAAATATTAGACAATCTAGTATGATTTTTAAAATTCTTATATGAGATGGTAAATGATATCTTTTGAAATCATACTTACATTTTGGCCCACTTATGTAGTTCCTCTTCCAGATATGTTTTAACCATTTTTGGTTGAAGGCCAAGAGAATTTCCCAAGAAATAGATGGCATTTTCATCCTTACCCACTAATGATAAATCAACTGAAATAGAAGAAAATGTACAAAATGCTTATTCAATTAATTCACATTCTTCCATTTGGCATTGTTAATTCAATGCAAACAATTAATATGATTAACTTCAAGAAGGATAATAAATAACTTCAATTTCTGCCAAGGATAACATCAGGTTCTGTGAAAAAGAATTAATCTTTTCCATTTTTATCTTAAAATATAACATACCTATACAAGCTTTTGTTGAGATCTTTCATATTTATTTTGCTCCATGAAAAAAAATCTAAATTATGAATTATTCCCAATCTTAAATACTCAATGGAATTAGAAAAGTTTTAAAAACAGGAATTTTACAGAAAGTATATCAGCCTACCCAGTTACAGTGAAAAATTACCAGAATTTAAGAATTACCAGAATTTGGAATTTAAGAATTCCAAATAAATTGATGTTGTAGATATGCCAAATTAAAAAAACAAAAGTCTAAATGATTATATATCTCTCTCAAGTAGATATATTGGATTGTTACTTTTTTTCATTCTATATATCTATACACATATAATGTTAATACATATATAGGCAAAGATTGTTCTCTATATCTACTTCTTGTTCACATAAATAACAACTTTAGTGATTTGTTTGTATACAACTCTCCAGAGAGTAAGAAATGTGGTTTCATTAGTGAACTAATCCACGTGCTTAAACTATAGTCCAGAAATACACGTTTATAATTGTGTTCTACTAAGTTTTCTCTTAACTGTAAGGGGGAAAAAAGGTAACTTCTGGCTTATATTTCATTCAGATCATTTGGTAATGTATTTGTCTTTACTTTAGACTACCTAATTAAACCTTTCCAGACTTTTTAAAGACATAAAATCTATTTCGACCAGATTGCTTTTATAGATACTGTGCTTCTTTTTCATTGGTACCTTTTAAGCCTGACCCAATTAAAAGAAGTGTAAATATTGTTCTCACATTTAAATTGGATTCATTAACAGTTCTCTTAACAGCTAGAAAACAAATATTGAAAGACTTTATTTAGAATTCAGGGCTTTTAATTGGTGTATTATGGGTCAAATTTCAACTATGCACTCAAATAAATACATACTGAAAACTAGACATGTCCTCTGGGTGTCAGCCCCATCAATGATCAAGGATCAGGAGGCAGTCGTTCAGGTCTCTGACTCCATTGTGTTAATTTTTTTCTTTCATTGCTGATGCTTTTACAGACAAATAGGTAGTGGGCTACTTTTATTTAGAAAGTCAGTTTTAAAATGTGCTCATGTGAGAGAAAAGCAGAATTCTAAACTAAGTTATCTTGTCTCATGTCAGCCCAAAGGATGTTTCACTATGAATTAGCATTATTTTTTCTCATACCTCTGATCTTCAAACAAATTTTTCTTAAGACTCATTCATCCATCTATGTGATATCTCCTGCAGGTCCCACACTTGCTGGTATTACAGATTCATTTTCTTTCTCTCTTTTCCCATCCCTGCTCTCCTTTGCCCCTTCTCCTCCACCTCTCTCTCTCTGTCTCTCTCGTTCTTTCTCATAGCACTGCCAGAATGGCTTGTTTTCTTAGGGAAAGAAGAGAATAAGCAATGTTAGCAATGTGAGAAGGATAGTTGGCACCTGAGGTTGGGAAGAACAACTTCCCACCTTTATACATACCTACTGTACAATCATCTCCCACCCCCACGCCCCCCATCAGTAACTATGAGAAACAATAGCTATGGTGCTTGGTAAGGGAGGAGATAGAGAGCTTAAGTGACAGCAGTAAAGAACCCTGGGGGTTATTGAGACAGCTGCTGTACATGAATATATCACGCACATAAATATTATGTTTATAATTATATGGATCAAAGTTTTCTCCCTTTTCCTTTTCTCTCCCTTGTACTCTTTATTCTTTGTTGCAACCCAGCAACTCTTTGCATTTTCCATATATGAAGGGGAAAGGAAATAAGTTGAGCATAGCATTCTCAACTTGTGATTAGCTTCTGGGTCTTTTTCAATTATAGGATTCTTTATACGTTCCCTGATTGCGTGGGGTTATTCGACATTTGTGCTAAGGGAAGCCCCTTGGTTAGGATGCCAATTATTTGCTAGATCTTGGGATCATTGCCTCCAATCCTCAAGACTGTCATGTTAATTGTTATTGACTATCAATCATTACTGATAATCATTTGCTGTTCTTTGATAGCTAGACTCCAAATTTAGAGTCTTCTGAAAAACACCTGTGAGAATGTTAGGGCTCTAGAGGAAAACATGATTTTGTTCTTTTTTTTTTTTTTAATTTAGAATTAGCCAGCTACACTCAGTTTAAATGGTCCCAATTTTGTTGGCAATGTCCAAAGCATCATAGTCAGGAGCCAGTCAAACACAGGCCTTCCTCTCTCCATCAGGCCTGATCAGGATATTGACCTTGGCCACATCAATGTCACAGAGCTTCTTCATAGCCTGTTCCACCTGGGTGCTTGTTGGCCTTGACATCCACAATGAACACAAGTGTATTGTTGTCTTCTATCTTCTTCACCGTTGACTCTGTATTCAGGGGGAACTTGACAATGACATAGTTAGCAAACTTGTTTCTCCTGGGGATGCTCTTCTGAGAAGACTTAGGTTGTCTTCGGAGCCACAGTGTCTTTGGCCATCAGATGGTGGGCGATGTGCAATCTTTTTTTCTATGTGGCTGTGGGCGCCTTTCTTCACTGCTTTCTTTGCTTTCAAAGCCTTTGTTTTGGGATGGGCAGCAGCTTTCTTATTTGCTCCTGGTGTCTTAGTGAGAAGCAAGAACATACTTTTTACTGTTTCAGTGCCAGTGATCTGGCTGTTGCACAACTCAACATCAAAAGTAGGACCTGTTGGATGATTTGTTTAACGTATGTTCATGGTCTTCGGAGAGTCTCCTTTATAAAATTATTTATTGCATTTATTCTTTCTTCCAAAGTCATGTATGGATTGACAAAAACCAGTCATTTTTGCTTTTCAGGATACTTTCTGTCTGTTGATAATTTTTTTCGCATAGCGAGGATTTGGTGTGCTCCCAAATTTATACGGTCATACCTCAGTACGCTTTGGCTTCAGGATTTGTCAAACCCTGAATGGGTTGCATTTTGACAAGAACAAAAATGTCGCAGCAGTTGGCATGGCACTTGTTCTGGACTTGTTGCACTTGCTAGAACTTGTATGAGTCACGTGACACTACCCCACAAGAGAAAATGCTTCATCAGTCAGTACTCTTCAGTTTTGGCACTCACCACAAATCCTGGAATAAGTGACAAATACCAAGGTTCTATAATAGTTTAGATATAATAACATTCACATTTCTTTTCTTTGAAGTAGGAGTTGACAATTTGGGCATGGGATTTTTTAATTTCTCAATACTCTTTTTTGGTTTTCTCCTGAACTTTAATGGCCTTTTCACAAAGAACAAGGAGCGTACTACAATCTCGCCCTTTTAACGATATCTTTCTGCTTGATTAACATATGTCATTCTGATGAGTCCCAAATCCTTGATTAAGCCTTAAGGCTGTGACTAACTCTTCCTTTCACAACTCTTACTTTTAATGCCTTTACTGATTTTACTTGGGAAGTTCTTTCTCCTTTGGATTTGTCTCCAGCTCATGTTTGGGATGAAGAGGTAAATAAAGAGTTTATTTCCTTCCTCTTAATCCATCTTAATCCTGTCTAGATCTACTCTAAAAGTTATGACCTGGGGATCCTGTGATTTTGTGTTATAGATAGACCCAGTAGGTAGGATGCCCAGTCAGTGATTTTGTTCTAGGCAAGACAAGGGAAACCTATTCTGTCAAGGTCCAGAGATCAAATATTTTAGGCTTTGTGGAACATATACTCTCTGCTGCAAGGACTCATTTCTGTCGATGTAACATAAAAAGAGCCATAGAACAAAATAAATATGGCTGTGTTCTCATAAAATTTTATTATTAAAAAAATGTTGAGCGGTTTGCTTGGGATGGGAGTTGGCCAAGATCGCTCTTCTGGTTGCTGGTGTTCTGTGACCCAGACCTTTGCCCCCTTGCCTCTCAGTCTAGTCCTGAGCCTCTTTTCTGGTGCCGTTTTTATGACACTGCAGGTAATGGCAGTTTGGCCTCGCTGGTTGCATGTCCCTCAAAGTAGCACTATTAGACTCCTTCATTGTCAAAGCCTTATTGTACCGAGATGGGGAGTTACCTGCCAGGGACACCATGGGACCTGGTCACTATGCTGCTTCTATTCATTTCATTATTGGAGGAAAATACGTCTTATTTGACTTGTTTATTGCGTGACTTCAGGGTGCTGGTCACAATCTGTTATGTTGTTTCTTTCGTTTGTTTTGGTCATGTTGGTTTTGAGCTAAGCTTTGAATGCATCTTTACGGGGATCTTTGTGTGTCACTTGGCAGTTTGCAGGCTTTTCTCATTTGGATAAGACTTCAGAACATTGTTGAAGGAGACCTGGCATGTGTTTTATTTGCACTTTTTAGATAAAAGAATAGAGATAGCTGGGACTGGCACCCAGTTTTTTGTCTTTGCCTTTTTTACCTTGTTAGACCTCTCTTTGCCAGCCCCGCCCTTCCATGGGAGGGCGAAACATCAGATGAATATTGCCTGAAAGCAGAGGAAGAATAAAAGCAGAAAGAAAGCAACAGTATTCTGTGAAGCTAGTTTTCTGGTAAATCACATAATGTTGTATAACATTAACACGGCCAGCGAAATGGAGCTTGTTGCTCAGAACAGTAAAGTGGCATAGAAAGGTTTCAGGAAGGCTTTATGTGAGGTAATGGGTAATCCCGCACTAGTATGCTGAGAAAAGAAGTTGATGAATGTTGTGGGACCACATTACGGAGGATGAAATTGTGGAGGTCAGCTGGATTTTCACTCAGCAGTTATACCGAGCATGTGTGGTACTTTGCAGTCAAGTTCCAACCATGAAGAGCTAATACAGGGTGAGGCAAGGGAGGATAGATGGGTAAAGAGAGTCATGATGTTCTGACTTCACAGTTTTCTTTTACCTTTTTTGTGTTCTAATTTCC